AGTTACATTTTTTTAGTAAAAGCACACAACTAGGATTCATCAACAAAATAAACGATTTGCTCAACAATGTAAACATAAAACGCGATTTTAGTTATTCTTCGTATCCTTACAAATCAGCAACAAAATGGAGGACCATCTTTGGACACTTTCCTCTAATATTATTGCTGTATACGTTTTTCGTGGTATCTCTAGCTATAACAATTGAGATGTTTCTCGGACTTTCATTGTCTATAAGTTTGATTCACGGTGTTTCGATTGATGCCGTTATCAGATGAACTGGTAAGCATGCTCCTCCCTTGTCCGTTTATATCGTTGGCTTGACCTTTTTCCGATGCCAGAGTGTTCCTGTGTGTACCGTTTTGCATTCATGCTTTTTTTTTATAGACAATGGATGTCCGAGGAGCGACATCTCAATCATCCGCATTGTCATCAAATGTAACAACCTATCAAAAATTGTGTCATATCTCTGTCATGATACAAGATTCAAGTCCAAAGTTTAACAATTTGACCACTTGCCCTCTTTTCACATAAAACTGGATTATTAGAACTAGGTTTAGTTTAGCAAGAATGAAAACAATAGGATCCATAATTATTCACAGACATTCAAAATGTGTCGCGTCAAGGTTAAGAAATTTTATAGGAACCACGGCACCACCAGGTTACGCGTAAAATCAACGAAATAATTTATTTTGCTTCAAGTTATGTTTTCAAGAGAGCATGTAGGACTATGAACTGTGACCTTACAGAGTATTATGGATTTATTTATTCAGTCTCATGCAACGTGCGATTATATATTGGTTCCGGAAACTTTGGAACATAGCTGTTCCTATTAGTCCGGACACTATCTTCGCGCCTGGTGGGAAAAATATTCTTATTCGGATTTCTTGCATATGCTTATTTAATAAATCTGCTTGTGGCCAGGACCAAATTGCTGTCATTTTTTTTAAATGAATTGCAAAAATTGCTCTGGTCAAAGGGAGTTTAGGGCGAAATATGTCACTTTCGAAATGCTATGAAACATCCTTCAAATACCCATTATCAATTCTCAAAGCATTTCAGGAGGAATTTCTTATGTTAACCTTTGTTTTTCAATTATTAATCCTCAATAATTCTCACTCAGAGGATACACTGAAAACGCGCTCGATTAACAATTATTAAAAAACAAAGGTTCACGATAACACCCTGAAATGCTTCAGGATTTTGTTAACGCATGTTTAAAGAATATTCGTGAACATTGGCGACATAAATTTTTTTATTTTTTCATATTGTTTTTCGGAATCGAAAATGACATATTTCGCACTTTTTCAAACATTGTATCGCTTATCTCGACAACTATCAACTTTAGAGAATAGTTCTAAGGTACATTATTTGTTCAGAATGTCCCAAAAAATTTAGGAGCACTTTGACCGGAGTAAGAAAAACAATTATTGAAACTCGTTTGAAAAAAATGTTTGTAAGCTTTTTGATGCAAATTTGGCAGTGACAACATAAGAGTACAGATGTATTAGAAGGGATATTTTTTTGGATAGTATTATGCAAACTATCGGAATCAGAATATTTTTGCCACCAGATGTGAAGATTGTCCGGACTATATAGAATTACATAAAATGAATTGTACAAAGGTAGCAATAACCTCAAGAAAAATTGAGACTGAGCCTACAACCGAGGAAGTATTGTAATTTCGAAAATAAGATTTCATGCTTTTTGGATGTTGCTGCAAAATAAGTTCTTACAAAAACGGTCAAGAGAAAAACTTGTGAAATATTTTCGTGTTTCTGAAATGGCCGCTAGGAAGCGTAACTGCAATCTTGAGTTTAAAAAAAGTGATGTTTCTATGAATCCGTTATATTAACCTAACAAAAAATACCTGATTTGAAGATAATGTAAACGTTTTATTGGACAATTTTGCTATATCTCTAAAGATAAAGTGGTGGGGGTATTCAAAGGTTCCCTTAAAAAAACAGGTGTATCTTCGAAACGGCAGAGCCAATTTTAACAAACTTAGACTAGTTGAAAAGAGCTATTCTTCATCTATAAATGCTATAATATTTAAAGTTTTGTTAGTGTCACATGTGGCTGCCAGAGGGCTTTGTCCGATAGAAATGGTTAATTTTCTCCAAGATATTAAATGCATTGGTATGAATTTTTTCATGAAAAAGTAGCTACATGACGTCTAAAGAAGCTCGCAGAAACTGCATATCGATATCTTGTTCCTAACGTAAAATTTAAGCCAAAGAAAATTGTATACCCTTTTTGAAAATATCCCAAAATATCGTTAAAAGGTAAGTAAGTAATGCTAATAACAAGAGGCATATTTTGTTTAAAGGCATACTCACTATAGGTATATACGAAACAGACAATTAATAGAATCAGGCCATAGAATACAACAAAACAAGTACCTAATCAAAACATGAATAATCCTCAAATTGTTAATTGTTGTCAAAAGTTTCACGTTACTTTCAGAAATTGGCGTGCTTATCAAATGCGTTTTATACGAAGCTGTCACAATGCTTGCAGTTTCTTTTGAATGTCTTCAGAATGCCACAGTAGCAAAAAGAGTTTAAGCGACTCTACAGGGTGTTTCAGTTTATTGTTGCATAACTTTAAGATTCGATAGTACTTTTAAAATTAATGCATAAAGTCTATATAAACATGGGTCGAAAAATGCGTGGCTTCCGAAATACAGGGTGTTTAAATTTACTTTCTAAAATAGTTTTTTTTTAATATTTCGAACAATATTTGATGTATAACAGTGAAAATTGGTATACAAGGGTTTTTTGGTACGACAAAACGAACCATGGGAATAGTTTTACTGTAGCCGCTAGAGGGCGCTCTCTACTGCACCTGTAGTGTATTAAAAAGACCGAAAATTTTTTCTTAGTGCAATTTTTGCTTTTTGAACAAAAATACTGATTCTTCGCACTTTTCAACATAAAAAAGATATCTTGTGAGTTTTCGTTATAGTTAGCGGTTTTTGAGATATTTCGATTTCTAAGGTTCGATGCATTTTTAATTATTTATGGGAAAATAATATTTTTTTTACATTTTAGATTTGGGCATTACAAGTAATTAAGATGATCGTTTAGATTGTGTTTATAAACACAGCAATAATTCCTAATTCCAAATAAACAGAAAAAACAGAATATTAATTTGTTTAATTTTCCAATATTATTTTTAACAACTTAAATTAATTATTTACAACTATATGCATTAATTTTAAAAGTTCTATCGAATCTCAAAGTTATGCAACAATAAACTGAAAGACCCTGTATATCTAAATCTGCATGTGAACACAACGGATTATCCCTGGAGTTGGGCATATCACGAACAACGGTTCAAAATATTTTGAAAAATATAGGGATTCATTTCAATTTAACTTTATTCTAATTACTTTTAAAAATTGCCAAACATAAAAGATTAAGATTCCCCTCGAATTTAAAGATCAGGTATTTTTTGTTAATATAGCGGAATTCACACAAACATCACTTTCTTAAATTCAAGATTGCACTTACGGCCATTTCAGAAACCTGAAAGTATTTTCCAGGTTTTCCTCTTGGACGTTTTAGTAATAACTGTTTTTGCCTCTACGATGGATAGGTTCCCAGATACAGTACCCCACATTCTTGATTGGCCACCCTGTAAATCACGAAATGTCACTGATCTTCGTCGATCTGCCTGTAGATCTGTCTGAAGGTGTGTCTGTCGACGCAAACGATTTGTAGTGTTTGAAAATCGGTGAAGTGGCGACACAGAAGCATACAAAAAACAAACAAAAATAAAGCACGTTTTAACTTCATTTTTTCTTTTACTTTCGAGAGGATACATTTTTTTGGGATACAAAATTAACAAGTGGGCGAATGTAGGGGGGTGGAGGAGGGTGTATCGTAATGTTAGTATGTTATGCACTGGCAATCCCAGTCTGGATTTATTGCCGGCGATCAGTCTTCATAACTTTCCTCGAATGACTTTCGTTCTGTTAATTTGTCACTTACACATGTTGCTTTCGTTCCTGCGATCAAAGACAGCCAACCGTGTCGTGTTTTTTAGCAACTCATCAGGATGGTCAAGGCTTCATCTTTGGCACAACAAACAAAAGCGTAGCAACTATCCTCTATCCAGGAAATAAGGTCTAAGGCGCTGCCTCATTTCCATAGGATTTAACTTGTGCTGGACATAATCCTTTATGAACTGATGACGGCATTGCCTGGGAAGGGCCGAGTCAACCTAGTTGACGCCACTTTTTGATAAAAAATAGTGTCTTCTAGAAATATAACTTTTTATCTATTTATTATAGAGGGTGTAAAAAATTAGGAATATTGTGTTGTTTGGCAAATCTGATTTATGTGTTCCAACCAAGACAAACTTGCAGCTAGACGTGTACCAAGGAAAATATCCTTATAAAGATATCGTGTACACATACTGTTTGATAGCTATTTAATATAAGACGATTTTTCTGGCAGCAAAAATTCATTTCATTTGATACTATCTCAACTGCAGATACTAGTTGACTAGGTACTGCAGCGCTGACAGCTACAGACAGTCTCAGATCAATTATATACAGGATGAAGAGTAATGGTCCCAGAAACGATCCCTGTGTAGCTGCTAACGTGGCATCATGTATCGCGACCATTAACTTTTGCCATGAGTTTTCTATTTGAGAGAGATTTTAGCTCTTGCACAACAATGTCAAAGCCTTTGGACAAGTTGAAAAACACCCCTGCAATACATCTATCAAAATCGGACACGTTGTACGCGTTTGAAAAAAACAAAGAAATATAGAGATAATTCTTCAGAAGAAAAAAGATATGAAAATAATCAACTTGATCGGTTACCTTTATTATCCAAAGAAAGTAACATTCTTGGCATTCAGTGTTTGAAGATAATTTAATAACGTGGTATATTTTGAGACATAATGACCAGAAAAAACAGAAAAATTATCAGCATGAACCCCACAGGACAAGTTTCAGATCTTACATTAAACTTCGTTCATTTTTTTCCAGATCCTCGACCCGGAGAACTAGGTCTCCTCTTCATGTCCTCGCCTCTGTACCCGGTCGCGTTCATCTTCAGCTACTTTTACTTTATTTACAATTTGGGGCCTAGGTTAATGGAAAATAGGAAACCTTTTGAGATTAGGAAACTTCTTATAGCTTATAATGCAATTCAGATTTTAGCGAATCTTTATATTTTCTACTTGGTAAGTATAAATACTTTCTTATGGTAATAATGCAACGAGAGTACGAGGGATGTCTTTTAAGTTTTGCATATAGAAACATAGTAGGTCGCGCAGATCGAACGTCGGTACTGAATCTTAACCTCACTCTTTAGTAAACTTAAATTCAAAGTTTCATAACAATACATGCAGTGTTCTCACTACAGTGATTTTTTAAGTGTCACCAAGTCATTAGAAAAATGGAACTCAACCGAGAACATTTTCGCACCATTACAACTTCCAGAGACAATTATCGGAAGAAGAATGCCTATCTGAGTTACTGTCTGTTTTCGGCAACGAAGCGTCACATCAGTCCACAATTTCCCGTTGGTATCGAGAATTCAAATGTGGATGGGTGAGTCTTAGCGACGATCCCAGGGTGGGTGCACAAAAAACGGCAGTCACCCAGGAAAACGTCGATGCTGTGCGCAAACTCATCATTGAAGATAGACATGTGACATATCGCGAGATTGAGGCGTCCTTGAAGATCTCAAAGACCTTAATTTAAAAAAATGTACATGAAGAATTAGGAGTAAGAAAATTAGTTTCTCGTTGGATAGCCCACCTGTTGACTGAAGGGCAGAAAGCAGCCAGGGTTAATTGGTGTCAAAAAACGCTTGACCGTTTCAATTCCGGAAACTCAAAAAATGTGTACAGCATTGTTAGTGGTGATGAATCGTGGATTTACTGTTATGAACCAGAAAATAAAGGACAGTCGGCTGTTTGGGTGTTCCAAGGTGAAGAAAAGCCAACAAAAGTCATCCGTTCTCGAAGTGTTTCGAAAAAGATGGTCGTGACATTTGTGTCAAAAGCGGGTCATATTGCAACAATTCCTCTTAATAAGCAAAGAGCAGTTACTGTGGATTGGTATACCACCATTTGTTTGCCAAAAGTCATCACCGAGCTTCGAAAAATCAACCCCGAAAAAAGAATCATCCTCCACCAAGACAATGCAAGCTCGCACACAGCCCAAAAAAACAAGGCAGTATTTAACGGAAGAAAACGTGGAATTGTTGGACCATCCTCCATATAGTCCCGATCTAAGTCCTAACGATTTCTTTACTTTCCCGAAAATTAAAAACAGACTGCGTGGTCAAAGGTTCCAGTCACCAGAAGAAGCAGTTGACGCATTCAAAAATACCGTTTTGGATCTGCCAACAAACGAGTGGAATAAATGCTTCGAAAATTGGTTCGAGCGCATGCAGATGTGTATCAATCTTCGTCAAGAATACTTCGAAAAACAATAGAGTCATTTAAAACTCCCTACTGTGTTGTTTTATTTCCATATGCAAAACTTAAAAGACATCCCTCGTAGACATTAAGCTTCACAAATGGACAATTAATTTGTAACAGGCAACCTTGCTACTTTTCAAGACACTATTGTGTATGTCTAAAATGAGTTTAGGAATATATTATATTTTGAAACCAACGCGATCACACAATGTTGTCGATATTTTAACGCATGCGGTAGAATGCCAAATATTGAACCGTGGCTGATTTTTGAAAACAAGGGTGTAGAATAACTAGTAGAAAGGGGACATGGCAAAAAGTACAGTAATCTCACCGTTCTCCATTATACATATAAACGAAATCAACTGAGCGATGAAACATTTATGGCATAAAAAGTCTATTTGATAAACGTCGATAGCTAGAGGTCCCAACAGCAGTCAGGAAGGTAATCTCACGCACGTGTAGTCCAAGAAGTATCTATCCAATGTTATTAGAAATGGCTCCTTAAAGAATCCGCATGTTGCTGGACTGCAAATTGTGCCAAGAATTACTGCTTAAGCAATTTTTTACCCATTCCCAAAATTGGTCTTATCGCTCCGGAAAAAGTATCCTTAGTTCCCTTGGTCATTCTGAATAAAAAAGGGTCCTCGAGAATGTTTCTATACAGTTTTAGAGAATAAGCTATATGGTATTTGCAAAAATGCGAAATATGCCATTTTTGAATTAAAAAAAAAATAAAGAAACAACAATTTTAATGTTGCTAAGGTTCCTAAGTATTTTTCAATCATGCATTAATAAAATCTCAATCCATTTTAGAAGATGTTAGTAACCCCTCGTTTTTCAATTGCTAATCATGCGCACGGTCAATGTGTACTGTAAGCTACAAATTTGGACTTTTCAGAGAGAGCGTTGTTTCAATTTTTCATCAATTTACACATAACTTTTTAAGATGCCTTCCTCAGACTCCTCCGACATTTAATAAACATGATTTTTTTTTATTTTAGGCGGTCTTAGAAATGTTATTTGTATCAAATTGGAGCTGCGATCCAGTAGATTATTCTTATAGCCCTGAAGCCATCCATACACTGAAATCGTACCACTTGTTCTTCCTCACCAAACTTGGAGATCTCCTTGAGACGGTAAGTATGAAAACGGGCATGAGACAATAGTATAACTAACTTATGATATATGTATACAAAATTGGTGTCAAGTAGACTGACTTGCTTTAGAAGAATAAAAAAACGTGTGAACGCGCTGAATGTTTGACCAAAAAGATGTCCTAGCTGATTGTCGACGTTGAGATTGTTAAGTAGACCAGGAGGCTGAACAATGTATACGTAATATTTTGGGTTCCAGAAGTTCTGACGCCATTACATGAACCTATTTTTCTCCGTCTATTTAAATAATTAATATAATGAAAAAACCTAGATAAATAATGAATGTGCGCATTCATATAGAACTTATTTGTCTTGTTGTGCACATAACTGTCACTGCTATTAAGACTTTCGTTCCATTTCTGGATATGGGTGAATATACGGTATTTGGGTTTTCAGTGTCAACTAAGAAAAATGGGTTATTTTGTTTTCATAATACTTCGTGCAATGTGACACATATTTGACAGGACCAAGTAATATTTTGATTTTGACAGGTCTGACATTTAAGCTATGGAAAAGATTCTTTAGACGTGATAAATGTACCGTTTGCTAAATAAATTCAATAATATTACTATTATGAGTAACAGGACTTTGGTTCCGCGGGTCTTGAACATAAAAGTTGCATAGATTAAGAGCTCACCGATCGCCAGGATAATGGTTGAATTTGGGAGCTACACATTTTTTGCTTTTATTGTTTATAATTGTTACATTTACACGAAAATATGCAATTGGAATCGCGCCTTGTGGTGGCGACATAATTTTCAGGAACTACTAAAAATGTGTATTTTATGCGTTTTTGGAAATTTTAGCGTCTTTTCATGAAAATATTGTATAATATATATTTAGCAGTGAAAAGAGTATTCGAGTTACATATAGAGAGATTCGTTGAGATTTGTAGTGAAAGTCAGGAATGGCGCACGCTAGGAAAGTATAGATTTTGTTAATTTTCATGCATATTGAGCGTAAGTCAATTTGGTTTCCTTGATTTCATCATATGTTGCAAATAAAGTATGATGCTTTACACGACTTGGATGATTCATCCCCACAATTCGGCGATTTTTTTGACGGGACATTGAAATATCAAACATATATATATATATATATATATAACTTGAGACGTGGTCATTGTCGTCTAGACCAGTTAGGTGAAAAATTAAAGCTTCCGCCTTTTGTTGGGTACTTCGACAAAATTTAAGCAAAGAGGACTCTTTATACTTTTTTTAATTCTCTCTAGCTTTCAATGGACTTTGCCATCATCATCAGGAGCTGCAATTACAATGATAAAAGTAGCAACAAAGGTGTAAAATGAATTTAAATTGACTCAACTTACAGTAGTATGTGAGGATGTTGCTAATTGTTGTTTACGTATAGGATGAGGGAAACGTCCCGTAACATGGTGAGAGCTGGATAGATTGTACAATGGTCAAAATTATATAAAATATGACAAGAACAAGTTAAAAACAGATTAAAAATTATTTAAAAAAAAAAAAACATTAGAGCATTACATCGTGAAGCCACTTGATAATTGCACAAATTAGTGGTCATGGAATAATGAGTGACATGAAACCCTTTGACAGAAGGCCGAAGGATGTCAATGTCAGTGTTGAAAGATGGAACGAATTGTGGGCGTGTGCCAAACGTTGCCAAATCACTTCAGATGATGAGATTTTCAGAATTTTATGTTAGAATTTGTTAAACCGACCAGAGGCAGTTGAATAAACTATATTATTATTAATGGGAATTTAAATTAACAATTATTAATAAATCGTGAGGAGAGAATTATTATATTTTGAGTGGAATGAAATTTACTGGTGGAATCAGCCAAAACACAGATTCTAATTATGGTTGTGAAGAGTTGAAATTTGGGGAGATATGTAAGTTCTCCAATTTTTCGCAATTTAGCAAATATGAGTAAATGACACTCAGTTGTTTAACATCTGTCTTTTTGTTGATACAGTTGTTATTCATGAAAATGTGGGACATTTCCAGGAATAAACGTTTGGAAAGGTGTTTTTCTTTATCAAGAACTTTGATACTTGTGTAATTCATAGAATGCCCTGTTGTGTTAACATGAGATGCTAGAGCGCATCTTTCAGGATGAAGCCTAGCATCACTTTTGTGTGATGTAATCCTTCCTTTAAGAGATCTGGAGGTCTGACCTATGTATATTTGGTTGCAGTTGTTGCAATTGATGGAGTAGACTGTGTTGGTTAAGCCAAGCAGCGGGACTTTGTCTTTCATTTTTGAAAAAATGCAGTTTATAGTGAGGACGGATTTGCAAGCAATTCGAAGGTTCAAAGGACTGCACAATCTGATCAGCTTAGGGGTCAGTTCCTTGATGTAGGACAGGACAGCAAAACCAGGTCTGGAGTCCGGGTTGGTGCTTGTACTGTTAGGATTGATGTTATTATTGGGAATTACATTAGTTCCGTTATTAGGGGTTGTGCGACTATTACCTGCATCACCAGAGTTCGGCAAAATATTGGAAGGTGAACTAAAAATGATCTTGTTAATCAGACACTTCGGATAACCATTATTGATGAACAGTTTTGATAGTTTACGTAAATTTGAGGTGTGGAAGGTATTATCTGAGATGCTGATTACCCTTGTTTTCATCTGTTTTACCAAATTGATTTTAATCCCTAGCTTATGGTATGACCTAAAATTGAGAAACCGACCTGAGGCCATAGGTTTCTGGTACCAGTCTACCAATAAACTGTTGTTGTTGGTGCGAATGAGTCTTGTGTCTAGAAAGGGGACAGACAGGTTCTCATCTTCTTTTTCAATGGTAAATTGGATGTAGGGGTCATAGCTGTTGAATTCTCTGACAATACCATCCAGACCTATGGAAGGGAGGCATAAAATAATGTCATCTACGTATTTTTTTATGAAGAAGAGGTTATAGGGTAGTGTCGGAATAACAGTATCAAGCAGATCATCCATGACATATTCTGACAAAATTGGTGACAGAACAGATCCCATAGGACAACCATGTGTTTGAGAATATATTTTGTTGTTGAAAGAGAAATAATTGTTATGAAAAAGGAATGTTATAATGTTGGTGAAAGATTCTAGAGATATGTTGCAGTGTTGACTTATCTCATTCCAGTGTTTATTAATAGTTCTTGTACATGCATCCAGATAGATGTTGCTGAATAGCGACACCACATCAAGACTGGCGATAATATGATCGGCTGGTATTGTCAATCTGTTGAACTGACGAGAGACTTCAAATGAGTCTTTGATGTAGTAATCATTATCTGCATGTGCTGATTTTAGTGTTGTCGATATTAATGAAGACAAAGCCTGGGTGGCTGAACCTATTGATGCAACTATAGGTCTTACTGAGAGTACAGGTTTGTGAATTTTCGGAAGTGCATAAAATTTGGGACAGAGTTATAAGTAGTCAAAGTTCTTTTTTGTTCTTGGGTTATTTGTCCAGTGCTGAGAAGTCTGGTGATGCAGGTAATAGTCGCACAACCCCTAATAACGGAACTAATGTAATTCCCAATAATAACATCAATCCTAACAGTACAAGCACCAACCCGGACTCCAGACCTGGTTTTGCTGTCCTGCCCTACATCAAGGAACTGACCCCTAAGCTGATCAGATTGTGCAGTCCTTTGAACCTTCGAATTGCTTGCAAATCCGTCCTCACTATAAACTGCATTTTTTCAAAAATGAAAGACAAAGTCCCGCTGCTTGGCTTAACCAACACAGTCTACTCCATCAATTGCAACAACTGCAACCAAATATACATAGGTCAGACCTCCAGATCTCTTAAAGGAAGGATTACATCACACAAAAGTGATGCTAGGCTTCATCCTGAAAGATGCGCTCTAGCATCTCATGTTAACACAACAGGGCATTCTATGAATTACACAAGTATCAAAGTTCTTGATAAAGAAAAACACCTTTCCAAACGTTTATTCCTGGAAATGTCCCACATTTTCATGAATAACAATTGTATCAACAAAAAGACAGATGTTAAACAACTGAGTGTCATTTACTCATATTTGCTAAACTGCGAAAAATTGGAGAACTTACATATCTCCCCAAATTTCAACTCTTCACAACCATAATTAGAATCTGTGTTTTGGCCGATTCCACCAGTAAATTTCATTCCACTCAAAATATAATAATTCTCTCCTCACGATTTATTAATAATTGTTAATTTAAATTCCCATTATTAATAATATAGTTTATTCAACTGCCTCTGGTCGGTTTAACAAATTCTAACATAAAATTCTGAAAATCTCATCATCTGAAGTGATTTGGCAACGTTTGGCACACGCCCACAATTCGTTCCATCTTTCAACACTGACATTGACATCCTTCGGCCTTCTGTCAAAGGGTTTCATGTCACTCATTATTCCATGACCACTAATTTGTGCAATCATCAAGTGGCTTCACGATGTAATGCTCTAATGTTTTTTTTTAAATAATTTTTAATCTGTTTTTAACTTGTTCTTGTCATATTTTATATAATTTTGACCATTGTACAATCTATCCAGCTCTCACCATGTTACTGGACGTTTCCCTCATCCTATACGTAAACAACAATTAGCAACATCCTCACATACTACTGTAAGTTGAGTCAATTTAAATTCATTTTACACCTTTGTTGCTACTGTTATCATTGTAATTGCAGCTCCTGATGAAGATGGCAAAGTCCATTGAAAACTAGAGAGAATTAAAAAAAGTATAAAGAGTCCTCTTTGCTTAAATTTTGTCGAAGTACCCAACAAAAGGCGGAAGCTTTAATTTTTCACCTATATATATATACGACCAGTTGGGTACAAAATACAATGAATTGTTAATTGCGAAATTGGCAAATCTCTTAGGCTTAAGTTGACTCTTTTGACGATAAAATCAAGCTTTCGGCATTCTCTATGGAGCCTTCATCAGGATTCTGAAAACACAATTGTGATGCTAGCAAAGAAAGCAGGACAGATTTAAATTGTTAGACAACTTACTCGTCGGTG